ATCTCTCTCTGCCTTTTTTTCATTCATGAAACTAGGTGAGAATCCAGTGAGTTTACGTGTGTGTGTGTGTGTGTGTATGTATGTGTGTGTTTGTGTGTGTGTGTGTATTTCATGCTTATGTGTGTGGCACATAATATACACTGAATACATTTTAGTTGTTCTGTACATACTGGAAAACAGCTTAGACTCACACTTTACTTTGTAAGTTCTTTCCTATTTGCTTTGCATGAGGTAAGCCTAAAAAGTGAAAATTAAGTTACACGCTATTATTTTTCTGATATAGGATTTATTTATTCATTCAAGAAATATTTATGGAAGGCATATCATATGTCATGCTTTGTGTTGAATGCATAGTAAAATAATAGAGGAAAATAATTATGGTGTCTACCCTTGAGGAGTTTAGAGTCTAGCAGGGAGGAGCTCAAACCATAAATAAAGTGCAATTAGAATGCATGAGGTGAATGATGTGAAGGAAAAGAACAGATGTAAAACAAATGTAAAATACAAAGCTTCCATCAGTTTAAACCTGAGCTTATGATAGTGGCAACTGGAATTACTGCTGACAAGAATACAGGTACCTTATTCTCGTCTTCACTAAAAAATATCCTAGTAGGAAATAAATCATATCCAGAGTTAGTCTCTTATATAATACATTTGTATCTCTAGATGCTGAGGTTGTTATAGTAGGATTCACCTATATCACCAAAGAGTTAGCTATTAAGCAGTGAATCTTTCCTCAAAAGTAAAACACAGATTGAAAGAGAAGTGAGTAATATGTAGCATGAGAGAGGATGCACTATGAAAGAGGGAGAGAGGAAATTGAGGAGAGGGTGGAAAGTCTCCCTCGGACGCCTCTCCAGGATAAGCCTCCTCCATCCTGGAGCCGATTTTTTCTTTTTCGAGACAGTCTCACTCTGTTGCCCAGGCTGGAGTGCAGTGGCATTATCTCGGCTCACAGCAACCTCTGCCTCCCAGGTTCAAGCAATTCTCCTGCCTCAGCCTCCCAAGTAGCTGTGATTACAGGCGTGCACTGCCACACCCAGCTAATTTTTGTAGTTTTAGTAGAGATGCAGTTTAACCATGTTGGCCAGGCTGTCTCGAACTCCTGACCTCAGGTGATCCACCAGCCTCAGCCTCCCAAAGCTCTGGGATTACAGGCATGAGCCACTGTGCCCGGCCTGGAGCCATTTTTCTGTGCTATGTTTACGTCCTCATGGACACCAAAGAGGGCTGAAAAGTGTACTCCAGAGGGTCTTGGGTTCCTCCACACCACTGACTCCTTCCAGTTTGGGCTTCACAGAGATAACATGACAAGGGAGGCATCGTTCCCTTGGACATAGTGGTGGCAGGTTTCTCCATGCCCAAGGAGACCTAGATTTGCACCAGCAGCATTGGTGACCAGTTGTTTCAGTTTGCCTGGAACTGAGATGTTTCCCACAGTGTGAGACATTCAGTGCTAAAACTGCGATGATCCCAGGCTAATCAGGATAGTTGGCCACCCTAATGGCAGAGGAGTCTCATGAAAGATGACCTGATCTGCTTTAAGCTCTGGAGCATCTCCATTTTGGGGCCCTTGATAATGGAGTGTGGTGGTTAAATATGGGGGATTTCAGGATCAGAAAACATGTATTCAAATCTGCCTTTCACCTACAAGCTGTGTAACTGTAAGCATTTTACCTTTGTAAAGCACTCTACCTTTTTGAGCCTCTATTTCCTCACTTGTAAAATCATGACATACTTCACAGGTTTTTGTAAGAATTAAATAAATAATGAGTGCAAAGTGTTCCACACACCGCCTGACACACTGTCAGCACATTCTGTGTGTTAGTCATTAATTTTACTACTTTTGTAGACCTTGAGCAAATATCTGTTACTTGACTCTATCATGTTTCTGGCAGTTACAAATGGATTTTTCCTTGAAAGTTGGGGGTTAGGGAGTAATGAATATGACACCCTCATTGCCTACTGCTATAGACTGAATGTATATGTTACGTTCCCCCCAAATTCGTATGTTTAAATGCTAACCCACAATAAGATGGTATTAAAAGGCGAAGCCTTTGGAAGGTGATTAAGTCATAACAGTGGAGCCTCCAAGAATGGGATTAATGCCCTTATAAAAGAACCCCCCTGAGAGCTTCCTTGCTTCTTCCGCTATGCAATGACTTGGTGAGAAGATAGCCATCTATAAACCAGGAATCAAGCCCTCACTAGACACGGAATCTGCCAGCACCTTGATCTTGGACTTCTCATCCTCCAGAACTGAGAAAAATACATTCCTTTTGTTTATAAGCCACCCATTCTATGGTATTTTGTTACAGCAGCCCAGATGGACTAAGACACCCATTCTCCCCATCCCAGACTACCTCACATCACAGCTATGATCATGCCTTCCTACATTCTTTGGAAACTCAGTCATATCCCTTTGGTGTCTCCGTATCTCACCAAGGAGTGTCTTGAGCAGAATACTTCATTGTCCCAACAACCGACAGAGTCACATTCTCTCCACCTCTCCTTCATCCTTGGACCACCTCCCCAGGAAGACAGGGCTACCTCATACTCATTACTATTGTTAGCATGGAAAATATTTGGCTGATTCAGCCAGAATTCAGGGAGTAAGCAGAAAGGAGAGGAGCACACTGTGCTCTTTCAAGGGTGTAGGGAAATGTACAACCAGAAGCCAGGTCACAATCTGTCAGAAGAGAGAGGTTGGGTTTCACTGGGCAGCAGGTTGACTTTGAACCAAACCCAGAATAATCAATATGGCAAAGGGCTCACTGTGTAAATGAAACAGTCGACATATATTATATAAACAGCCCAACGAGGAAGTATTTTAGCTTCCAAAGTAAAAAGATTTCTGGACTCCTAAGAAAAAGCTTAGGGGGTATAGATGGAAAGATTTGGCAAAAGCACAGAAAATGAATTAATGCTACTATGATTTTAAAAGGTTAGGGGATTTCTCGGTGCATTTTAAAACTACACTCAGTAACCCCACCAAAATTCTGAGACACCCCTTTGAAATATCCCCTCCAACACACATACACATGTCCCATGAAAATCTCTAGAACTGTGATCTGTGATTATCCATGGAGTGTGTCTCATCCTCACATTCATGATGCCAGTGGGGAAGCAAGACTGAGACTTCATGGCTGATGAATAGAGTACTGGGCTAGGAGACCAGGGATCTTCATTTCAACCCAATCCATTTGTGACAGTGGCAAATCAACCACTTCTTTGTTCTTCAGCTGCTCCAGCAGTAAAAGAATCACAGCCATTTCTGTTCATTTCTCCTGCAAAGGGTACTTGTAAAAGGGAATAAGATCACATATGTGGAGACACTCTTCAGAAGATGAGAATGTGTGCATACCTTATATTATTAATAATAAAAATTGGATTCAAAAATTCTGCCTAGACACTGTTGTCAAAAGGCCAGGTGTGTGTAATTCCTCTGTAATGATACCAGTTCTTTGTACTACCTAGGCTTTGGAAATTTGAAGGTACTTTTTTAAGCAATGGGAGATCACTATATAATCACTTTATACTAAATATAGTAGAATATAGTATATTCTCTCTATTATAGAAAGAATGTAAAATATTCTTTAGTATAGAAAGTAGTAAAGAATACACTACTTTCTACTATATATAGTAAAAGACTATGCTACTTTCTACTACATATATATACTATATTCTTTCTACTATAGATTGCCATATAAGCACTTCCCACTAAATATTTCCAGTATGATCTTTGTTCAAGCAAGTTTTAACTTTTTTAAAATAACAAGTCAGAGCTTTATAATACATATTAAGGAAGTTTCATCCTATAGCATATGTTACATATTTATTCTTCCTTTATAAAACATTCAGTTCACACTGAGAGAAACAAGTGACTTCTGATTATAAAACATATTGTAAAGCACAACCATCTTCAGATAGTATATGTTGGATAAATAACAATCACGGGAGTCACCAACTACTGTGGATATAAATATATTTTTTGAGTCATGCTGGCTATTAATCAGTGGTAACACCAACGAACAGAATGAAAAATTTTATCCTAAGCTGACTATTGAAGTGTTGCTCATAATACTGCCCATTCTTTCTCCATGTAATTAGTAACATTGCTAGTTTCAGTAAGAGAACTTAGCTTCCGATATCCTTTCTGATTTATTGGGTATTGAACAGTGTTCTATGAAGGACAGAATCTGTTATCAACTCCGCTTGTGATTTGAAACTTTGCACACATCAAAATCACACTTGGAATAGGTGGAGCCATATTCTGAGTCTTTTATTCAGCTATCAATTCAGCTATATCAAGCAAATATTGCCATTAGTAAAAAGTACACACAGTTTTCTGAATCACTCTACCTGATGGCATTCTTTTGTAAGAATGTCAGCAGCCTAGGATCCATACCTTGACTTCTCAGAGCAAGAGTCCAACTTACCACCTGATTGTGCTACTTAGACTTAACTACCTACTTATGTCCATGTTTCTGAATGGTTTCCTCTTCTGAGTCTAAAACCAGACAGAATCAATGATCAATTAAAAATTAACAGAGCTCCATATTCACAAGCTGAGTACTAACTTTGGCTATGTGGATTTTGATTTGGCTCCTCTCTGAGATACAAGATACTGTTTCTAATTTCAAGAAAAGTACAACCTCCTGGGGAAGTCAACGCAAATACTTGGAAAGTTAAATAACCATGCAAAATATAATAACAAGGTTGCAGTGCAGGAAATATCAAAGGACAGTAACTGGTTAAGTGTTAAGTGAACAATATTGAGATCAGTAGTTTGCAAACTGTGCTCCAGGTAACCCCAAGTGTTGGGGTGGGAGTAGGGTAACTCTCAAAGCTGCCACAGAAAATAAGAGAAGTATCAAATACATTGCGTTTCAGCCCAATCCCACATCTTGGTTTCCACCTCCACCACAGTCACTCTTGGGTTTTTTTAATTGGTTTTTTAATTTTACTTTCTATAGTGGATCTTCACAGATACAATTTCGTATCAGAAAAGGACTTTGAATTTATTTTTTGAACCACACATATATTTTTAAATGCCATAGGTTTCAAAATTACATAGTATAATCACTATGATCTGTTGTGGAGTGAGGTTTCTTGGTGAAGGAGCAGAGAAGACTCCACAGATGTAGATGATTTGTGTAGTTAGAAAGGTTCCAGTTAAATGATTTCATAGAAATAATAACAATAAAATAAGAAGGATGGTTTAAGAGGCATCATCTTGGAGAAAAGTCAAATCAAAATCCATACTGTCATCATTTTATAGGAGAAATCCATGTACAAATCCATGTATAAATATCTTTCTCTCGGAAAACTCAGCGGAGAAAGAGAAGTTTCCTAGTAAATGAGCAGAGACTTGACTTGCCCAACGAAGAGTCTGTGTGGGTGCAGTTCCTGGCTCTGCTAAGGCAAACATGACAGCTAGATCAGTTTCAGAAAGGAGGAGCGGGTGTCCTGGCTTGCCAGAAACCACTGGAATGGCAAAATAAGAAAACTGGGTCTTCTCTCAAAAACTCTTTCCTCTTGAATTGAGTAGGCACCCTCCAGATGGAAAGGTAAGCCGAGGACACTCTGGGAGACACCATTTCTCTCTTCAGCTGACATCAGGACCTAGGAACAAATAGGATATCAATTCTGCTGTCATTGACTACAGAGATACAATGGGAAGAAGTCAAAATCATTCCTCTCAGCATTTGCAGTTAATAACAATGGAATTCATGTGTATTATTTGAGCATAGGTAATGTGTTGTTCTGTTATACAAATAGAGCAAAATAATATACCAAGTTATTATAGGTATTTGTTATGGACCACATGATTGTGTTCCTCCAAAATTCATATGTTGATACCCATTCCCCAATGCCATATTACTTGAAGGTGGGGCCTAAGAAGGTGAATCCATCTTGCTGGGATTAGTACCCTCATAAGAAAAAGGACAGAACAGCTATTTACAAGCCAGGAAGAGGATCCTTACCAGAACCCAACCATCCTGGCACCCTGATCTCAGACTTCCATCCTCCAGAACTGTCAGAAATAAATGCTTACTGTCTAAGCCAGCCATTCTATGGTAACTTGTTACCGCAGTCCGAGTTGACAAAGACAGTAAGCACTCTTGGGCTGCAAGCACAAAACCGAAAATGCATAATTTAAGCCAAAAAAAGAAGAAAAATAGAAGAATGAGAGAGTTTCCTGTAGAGTTAAAGATGATGACCAACTAAACCTCAGAAAGGACAAGAATAGGGCTGAGATTCAGAGAATCTCAGCCACAGAAGCCTGACAATCTCCTCTCTAGCAAAAAATCCGGGCCATCAGCGATCATCCTTAGAGGGTATTGATCATGTGTCCTTGTGGATCATACTTATCTACTGAGAACTCTTAAGGCAAAAGAACATAGGTTATAATGAACTCTTTGTGTAACTTCTTTTAAAAATTGCTCTTTCTAATTAATTGTTAGAATGTGAGCAAAGCCAAAGACCCCTAGTGGTCACAATAAAGGCCCACAGCGGTTGCAGCAAACAGTGCCTAGAGCCCAGAAGAAATTTCCTCTGTCCGGGTGTGGAAACACAAAGAAGGAATCTGGGTCAGGAGGCAGGCAGATACTGATAGTCAAAGAAAAAGATGAGAATATTATTAAATATAGTGTGAATACATAAAATGTAACAACACTTGAAACCAAATAGCAACTCTCTCCTTGAAAAAAAATTATATTGCTTTCTTGGGAAGCATATATCTAAAATTATAATTCAGATTGCTTTAGGTTCCACTCAGAAACATTTTGTTAAAAGATTGCCTTACATCAGATTTGAAAAACATAAGCAGACTTTTACCAAATATAGACACAAGGATCATAAACTGAAAATAGAAACCATAAGACAGACTCTGGAAAGGAAGGGAATATTGACATTGTATTATACTTGGCAGTAAAGAAATAGAAATCCACAGTGATTTACAACCTTTACATAAGAATAAAGAATTAACTGAAAAAATATTCCAACTATCAGAAATAGTAAGACACTTTTTAGCAATAAGAAAGAAGATTTATTTAACTTTGGAGAGGGTTGGCAGAAAAGGACTAAAATGAGAAACAATAATATTACATATTAACTTTGTTCTTAAACATCCACATTTAATGTATCAACTTTGGCTGTTGTTATATGACTTGGCAATTCAATAAAGTTACTGAAATGGAAAATTGAAAAATTTTATTGTGATTTTTCCAATTTCTCCACTAGTGGAATAGTTTAATAATAAACCATTGCATATGCTTACAGCATTCTCATTAAAATGAGTGAGCTATCATTTTTCTTTCTATTCTTAGTTATCAGCAACTTTATTTACCAATGCGTATTAAGTAGAACACAAACCTCAGCTAACCATCTTTGGAGGTACCTTTTGAACAAGCAACTATTATCTACTGAGAAGACATTGAGTTTTTAAGCTGGAAGGAGCCCTAATAGTTTTATATTACATATGTCACATTATAAATGAGGAAACTGAGGCTCAGTGAAATGTAGTAACCGGTCCTAAGTCAATAGCTACTCGATGGCAGAGAAGATGTCATGCTTCCAGACTGTCTTATTACAATAACTATCCTAGAGTCCTAATATTTTTTCTCTATCAGCTGTTTAATATAGGCCTACAGATTCCTGTGTGGCAAAAGAAGAAAAAGGTAGACAAAGAAGACATCCTTAATTTATTAAAAGATTACTTTAGCCTTATCACAAGGAATTGTAGTTTGAAAAAAAAAATACCATTTGTATTCACCTCTGATTAGGCATGGAAATTTTCCTATTGGATTTATAAAACTGCCCCCAGCTTTTACATTTTTTAACATTCTATGAAATGTCTCTCCGCATTCTCATCAGAGTCATGCAGAATATTGATGACTCTGTAATTTGTAAGACAATATCTTCATAGAGTTGCATTAATTCCTTTGTTGGTCTTTGCAAAATAAATCTATTTCTAATCTGGCACCTGCTATTAAGCTGCTCATATCACTAATTTATTTTCCTTTAAAATAGCCATTTAGGCATGTTTTCTTTGGCTCAGACTCTACATAAAACATCTATGTTAGCTATTAACCCTCCTGAGGGAGTGGGCTTGATCAGAAGAGGAATGGACTGGAACTGAAAGAACCAAAGGTGGATCCAACTTTCAGTTCAGTTGCCAATAACCCATGTGACATTGAGCAAATCATTTATCTTCTCTGAACATTTTGTCTTGTGTAAAATGAAGAAGGTCAATTTTATGACCCCTAAGATTTAAATCTCTGCATTTCTTTTTTCTTTCTTTTTTTTTTTTTTTTTTTTTTTTTTTTTTTTTTGGTTACAGAGTTTCACTCTTGTTGCCCAGGCTGAAGTGCGATGGTGCGATCTCGGCTCACTGCAACCTCTGCCTTCTGGGTTCAAGCAATTCTCCTGCCTCATCCTCCCTAGTAGCTGAGATTACAGGCATGCACTACCATGCCTGGCGAATTTTGTATTTTTTAAATAGAGACAGGGTTTCTCCATGTTGGTCAGGCTGGTCTTGAACACCCAATCTCAGGCAATCCACCTGCCTTGGCCTCCCATAGTGCTGGGATTACAGGTGTGAGCCACCGCGCCCGGCAAATCTCTCTGTATTTCTAAATTGATCACTTTTAAGCCAAGTCTAACAACAATTATTCTGCTTGTACCCTAAACTTACATCCTATTTACCCCTAAACACTTGGTTCATGTTTCAGTCCTAGCACTGAGACAAGGAAATAAAATACAATGAAGTGTGATGTCTCTCTTATTACACTATGAACTCCATGAAAGGTTAACTCATTCTTATAGGCTCAATGCCTGGCAGAGCAGATATTCTATAAATGTTTGATATATGGACAAATAAAGGAATGATTGCTACAACGAAATAGTAAGAAGAGCTTAAGTGTATGAGTTTACATTATCTCTGTAAGTAGCCCAGAGGTCATTATCCTGAATCTTATCAGAAGAACTAGCACTTACATATAATTTTGCCTGTTCACAGCATAATGGACTTCACAGTACATCTCTTAGAGTTTGATCTCTTCTTGCCTAATCACATACTCTTAACCTTCTTTCTTGACCATAAGCTTTTTGAGAACGAGATCTGTGTGCCTGATTCATCCTACAGTTGCATACCTATTCATAGCGCTTATGAAGTCTTCCACCAATTTTAACTGATTAAGTGAATTTAAAATAGTGGTCAAATAAAATAAATGATGTATTTGTAACAAAGTACTCTTTGTCAAGGAAAAAGGTTTGGAACAAGTTTTCAGTGATAATAAAATTCTGACTTGTTACTCTTTCACTCTATATTAATCTCAAATTTTCATCTCTGAAAAGAAATCACTTATTCCTGGTTACTTTATTTTTCCTTCATATATGGTCAGTTCATAATGAATGTATCCAGTGAGATCTCACAGAGCAGAGAAAGCATGAAGACCGTGAAATTTCAGTTGTGATTCCAAAAAACAGTCTTAATAGAATTGTATTTTCATGGTTTCATTTTATATAAAATGCAGTGTTGTGGCATAAGCATTTCTCCTGACTTGCATGCAAATTATCTCTGTGTTGCTTCAATAGAGTCTTTGTCAAATGTTAATAGTCCACTACTTTGCATGCTATGAAAGAATACCACAATATCGACTCCCAGTGGGATGTCTTGCCCTCTCTTGACTTACCATGTGATTTCATTTTCTTAAAGAAAATGTCTTTTTATTTTCAGGCATGTCTATTTCTCTGATCAAGAGTTGTTTTCCCTACATGCAATTCTTTTATCAGGCAGCATAAGTTCCTTCAGTGCTATCTCCCACCTTTCACACATTTGCAATTCCATATTGACATAAACAATCTATATTAACACATATATAATGTTAATATTTTCTAACTCACTTTTAAATAGTTACCACAATTCTAATTATGCCATTAATCCATTGTAATTAGACTCATTATTATAAATATGATTTGTTCATGGGGATCTTTATTATTGTAAGCAGTATTTCATATTACTGTTATAAATGCTACCAATAAACCACAATTGTTAGAAACATCCTTAATGTATTTAATATTTGTTTTATCGGGTCCCTCATAATCAACATGGACATATTTATGTCTCTACAAACTTCAAAAGAACCAAATGATCTTTTACTCCTAAAAAGTTACTGACATGTTAATAAAAATAATAGCTAAACTTTATTGAGTTCTTTCCACGTGTCATTTACTCTTCCAACACTCAATGCATTAAGGTAGATTATGTCATTAATTTTCACAAGGTTGCTAGGAGGTAGAAGTTTCAGTTACTCTCATTTTACAGAAAAGAAAACTGAGACGTAGACACGTGAAATAATTACACAAATATATAAACTAATAAGTGATAGAGGTAGAAATGAAACCCATACCATTTCATTCCATGTTACTGTGCTTTGAGGGTGAGGATGAATCTGTTTATTTTGGAAGTTATCTATCGTACTTCTTGCATCTGTGTAATTATTTCTCTAAACTCAAGTTTGCATATCATTTTAAAATTCTGTCATAAAATCAAAAGTATGTAAAGAGTGCAAATTGAAATCTTTGCAATAGAAATTACAGGCTATCAAAAATATAATGAA